AATGGAAAGATGTATCAAAACTGATTATCAATGGTTTCCAGCTATATTTAGGTAAGGATGTATGTAATAAAAAAAAAAATGGGTTTACGTGCTATTGTCTGCATCACCTAACAGGCTTTCCTTTTCTAGTCTTTCCTTTGTCATTTTATTTTCCTTTCTTTTCAATGATGGAGATTAACATTTTCCAGGAATTGCAAGTCCTTTTTAGCTGAAGTCATTGTCTCCATACTACCAAGTCTTAGACGATAGCTGGACCTTATTATACTGCCAGTTTGATCAGATTGTAATATATGGTGTAAACATTTTTCCTGAATCATAAATTTTTGGGAATCTACCCAGATGTCAGCCAGACTGGCCAGGGCCTTACCAGATTGGCAATAGGATCAAAGCAATTATTCTGTGCTCAACAGTAAGTATTGAACTGAATTTATCTGGCATATGAATGTTTTAGGATACTATGGATATAGAATTTGCAAATTATGGTCTTCTTTCTTGGCATATTTAACAAAAGTGGAAGGACATCTGTTGCTTTAGCCTACCCAACGTTAATTTATTCTTTTTTTTAAACATGCAAAGACTATTCTAAGCACTTGAAATCTATACATGAATAAAATGAATATCCCTTCTGCATGGAATTTGCATTCCAGTGGAGAGAGATGGAGACAATTTATATATAAATCATATGACTGCTGGAAAAAAACAGGTGTTCTTGCTTTGGGTGCAGGTTGCAATGTTAAATATGGTGTCTGGCCTCAGATTTGAATAAATACATGGAAAATGTTAATGAAAGTTAATCATGCAGATAACTGTTGAAAGAAGGTTCCAGGCAGAAGGAACAGTCAGTGCAAAGCCCCTGATGGGAAGGATCAAGTAGAGAAAGAAACAGGAAGATATATGAGAGCACCGTGTATTTTTTTTTTTTTAATTTATTTATTTTTGGCTGTGTTGGGTCTTTGTTGCTACGCGTGGGCTCTTCACTAATTGCAGTGAGCGGGGGCTTCTCGTTGCGGTGGCTTCTCTTGTTGCGGAGCATGTGCTCTAGGCGTGTGGGCTTCAGTAGTTGTGGCACATGGGCTTAGTTGCTCCACGGCATGTGGGATCTTCCTGGACCAGGGCTCGAACCTGTGTCCTCTGCATTAGCAGGTGGATTCTAACCACTGCACTGCCAGGGAAGTCCCAGCACCGTGTATTGATGAAACTGTGTGTGTCCTCGAGTAGGTGAACGAGCATGGGATCTGGTGCACAAGTGGGAACAGGGAAAGTTAAAGTGTGTTTGTATGTATCTGCAGCACTTTCAAGAACCTCACAGCCTGTGAGAGAGAGACGATGACTATGATAATTTAGTTTGATAAGTTTAAGATCAAGGGTAAAGGTAAACAACAGACATAGCAGAGTATTTGTTTTTAATGTGAAGAGGCTTTTATTATCTAAATAAAATTTTTTTATCTAAATGCCTAAGAATACACTAAATGTCACAAGACCTTCATCAACAGTTCATTCCTTACTTAATATCAGAATTTATAACTGTGAATGAGGAAAATAAAAAAATAAGTTTTTATTTGGTAGATTTTGGTTTCTTAAATTTAAAAACATTTTTTTTACTTTTAAAAAATTTTATATTGGAGTATATTTGACTTAAATGCAGTGATTCAGTTATACATATACATATATATATTCTTTTTCAGATTCTTTTCCCATATAGGTTATTACAGAGTACTGAGTAGAGTTCCTTGCGCTATACAGTAGGTCCGTGTTGATTATCTATTTTATATATAATAGTATGTATATGTTAATTCCAACCTCCTAATTTATCCCTCCTTCTGATGTTAGACCCCCAGACTGGGGAGCCTGACATGGGGCTCAGAACTCTCACTCCTGTGGGAGAATCTGTGTGATATAATTATTTTCCAGTTTGTGGGTCACCCACCCGGAGGGTATGGGATTTGTTTGTATCATGAATGCACGCCTCCTGCCGTCTCACTGTGGCTTCTTCTCTGCCTTTAGAAGTAGAGTATCTTTCCTGGCAAGTTCCAGTCCTTTGTTGTCAATGGTTATTCAGCAGTTAGTTGTGATATTGGTGTTTTTGTGAGAGGAAGTGAGCTCAGGTCCTTCTACTCCACCGTTTTGTCTGGGGAGTGGAAAATAAAAACTTACTTTGTTCCAGATCAACCTTGACAAGTGCATGTGGCCTTGGGTCCCTCTTAGGGAAGGATGGACCTTTGCCTTTACTCCAGTCCTATTTGTTCTTAAAGGTTGTAAGGAAAGAGAGGCACTTTTGAAGGCACTGGATCAACACCAATCCAAACAGCACAGACCTCTAAGAGAGGATCCAGATTCTCTTGGTCCCTTTCCTATTTGTCCAGATTAATGCTAGAGTGGGTGGAGTATCGTCCCACCAGTAGTAAAGGGTCACTCTCCCGATGCCCTTCTTCTCCACAGGCCTCGCTGCAGGTAGGGCCTGCAGATTCCTCTCCTTCAGCCGCCTCAGAATCTGTTCTATCTTCCCCTCCACCTGCCAGGACCTTCCGACTCCATGACTCTGTGGCTGCATCCACTGCAGCCCGGCCTAAGCTCCATAGCAGAGAATTTAAGAAAAGCTACATCATTTGGGCCAGGGTAATTGTACCGACCTCTACTCAGTGTGTTCCAAGGGCCAGCAGCATCAGTATCACCTGGCAGCTTGAGAAATGGAAAAATCATGAACCCTGCTTGACACCCACTGAGTCATTATTGGCATTTTAACAAGATCCTAAGGTGATTCATAGAATGTTAAAGTTTAAGAAGCCTGTTTTAAAGGATTTTTTGTTGTTGTTGTTGGTATGTGGGCCTCTCACTATTGTGGCCTCTGCCGTTGCGGGGAGCACAGGCTCCGGACGCGCAGGCTCAGCGGCCATGGCTCACGGGCCCAGCCGCTCCGCGGCATGTGGGATCTTCCCGGACCGGGCACGAACCCGCGTTCCCTGCATCGGCAGGTGGACTCTCAACCACTGCACCACCAGGGAAGCCCTTAAAGGATTTTAGGAGTAGAGTCATAGTCCATTGCATAGAGAAGAGAGAATGTGAGCAAAGACATTGGGGAAAGAAAGAAAATGAGCATGACTGCCACCCAACCCACCCTGTTGTGGGCTAAAAATACAAAAAGCTCGGGGCTGCTGGAGAACAAAAGAAAACCTGGGATTACCCTGGTAGGTAATATGAGAGAGAAAATGGGAGGAGGGTTTATGTGCTCATCTGGGCACTGTGAGCTCTTGAGGGGTTCGTCAAGTGGGGAGATAAGATCAGAATTGGATGTTAGCCAAATCTCCAAGGTGAGGTCTGAATTACACCTTGGGTATTTTCCAACATCCTTAACGCAAATTTAGAAAATATAACACTTCCACCAGTATCTTGTATCATTTTGGGTTTTTCTTTGTATGTTATTTTACATAAGAAATGTCATGCATCACTCACAATATTGTGAGCCTTTTTTCCAAAGTTAAATATCATAAAATAGCTTTATGAATTCTAATTAAACATCTTAATGTCTGCAGAATGTTCTGTCAGAGTGATGGATTATAATTAAACATACAACTTTCAGTAATCATTCAGGTCAGTTTGACTTTTTCATGAACATAATGAAAGAGTTTTTATGTGTCTGATATTATTTTTCAGATATTTCAATACAAGAATTTTTAAAAATATGAATGTTAAAACTTTTGGTATACATTTCCAAAATGCATTACAAAATTTATTTACTCCAGTTATTCCAATTTCAAATATAATAAATAACTTAAGTATCAACTTAAACTCTGCTGTTCTTATAGTTGTACCAAAATATTCCTTAAAATACCTGTCTGTAATTAAGCTTTCCAAGTAGTTACCATATATCCCATAGTATTAAAATCCCAAGTGATAGAAAAGCTGAAAATTTATAAATTGAAGAAAAAGTACAAAAAGATAACATTTCTCATTTGTTAAGTAAATGATTTGGGAACTGCCCTTGGTAATGCCAAATAGGTGGGTTTTTTCCAAGTAGATATTTGAAAGAAAATGAAAATGTGAAATAATCCGACATTCCAGAATAATAAGTCAATCATTATTAGCCTATTACCTTATTCTTCTAATTTTTATCCTGATAGAAAATTAATCTTTAATGAGGCATGAACGTTGAGCATCCCGATTCCTCCCCAAATAATGAAATTGGATGCAAGACTGTATCTGAAGAAGCAAAATTAGTCTGGATGCCTGGCCTACGCGAATTTTATCAGAGCTTTTAAGTAATATATATACAGACATGTTTGTACTTTAATAAATATTTTTGTAACATTTATCTAGCAAAATACGCAACACTTGATTTGAATAACGATGTAAAATATAATGATTAAATCCAATATGAGCCTAATATATTAACAAATACATGTTACATTAACTGCAGAAACATTAGAACTAGAGACATGTAGAATATCTGTAAAAAAAATTTCTGGTTCAACATTTATCTATATAAAGCAGAAACTAGGAAAAGTGAGGTCCACAAAAACCTGCCCAGGTTAGATAAGGGAGAACTTTGATGGTAAGAAAGTAAACTTGGATTATGTATATAAAAGTAATTCTGTTAGGTGTATATATAAACTTAAGAATTGTGGATGTCAAAAAAAGTGTGTATTACTAAAAATGTCTGAATGTTTGACATCTAGAAATAAAAATATTTGAGAGTTAATTTTGATACACCTTAACAATGTTTACTTCATGGGCACAAGTAATTGATGAAAAGGGTTTATAGAATGGTGAGGGTATGAAGAGAAATAGCTTTTTTCTCCTGGAAAATAATAATGCCAACTCAACTCTATATAGTTCTTTCCAATGTTTAAAATGATTTAACTTGAATAACACTGACCAAGAGATCAGAGAATTGGGATTCATGTATATATACAAAAAAGAATGTGTCATGCAAAAAACTTGCTTTTAAAAGGATTTTCTTATTTCAATCATCTTACCTGAGGTATTTTCTATTTTGCTTTCAGCTTGATGATTTCCTGAATCAGATCCATAAGCTCCAGAGATCTTTGGATGAACAGAAAGAAACAAATGAAAACTTGGAACTTAAACTCAGGCACTTACAAAACTGGTAATTATTTCACAAAATATGTCAAATTCAAGATCAAGATCTTAGGGAAATCTTGATGTCCTTTTTTCCTCATTTTCTTAACAAAAATAATGTTATAGATATTTAACTAGAAATATTAAAAGAAACTTACAGGCACTCAGTACTTAAATTTATGGGCTTCTTGGCTCTTATTGTTTTTTCCCCCCAATAAATGTTACATGTTATGATAAAGACAATTTAAATATCATTTAAAAGCAACTCTAGTTCTAAAGGTGTAAAATTTCTGAAAGGCAAAAGGAGCTTTCAGAATACATTTCACAAACTGAAAGGGTTATAATACCTGCAAGAAAACAGAAGTTGTAAACCATACAGATCGCTGGGTAGTTGATAAGAGAATCACTGTACTTAAGAAAAAGTAATGGTTTAAGTAATTGATAGACATTAAACACATATTCACAATCTATGTGGTAAGGGTGGCGTGTTGTGTGAAAAATGTTTTTACCCCAGAGAGGTAACAATAAATTTGGTATAATTCTTCATACAAGGCAAAAGTGGACAGAGGTGTCAAACGCTATGATTTGCACTAGAAAGAGACTGAAGGAGCAAAGCTAAGATTTGCACTCCAATTGATATGAATACTCTCAAAGTAATAGATCACCTGTGACTGAAGTTAAGGAAAAGCAACAAGCACCTCAGAAACTAAGGGCTTTTGACTTTTAACTGGATAGACATTTTGCAGGAAAGTCATAGAAGAGCCCTCCAGCACTGGCAAGTACAATAGTATCTAGAAATAAATCAGGTGGAAATAAAGCTATGATTTCCTTCGAGTTGGATGAAACAAAAGCAAAGTATAAAACTGTACATAGAGGAATATTTGAGACCTTTTTATATAGTATAGTTTACTGCTTCATATTTACGTTTAGATAAAGAAATTTACCTTAAGAAGAGACCCTATATAATCCTACTTGTAAAATTTAACTCAGTCAATAATATACCTGGTCTTCCTCCTTTCCCATTAGTGCAAATGAAAATTTACTAATTGATTTGTAAGTAAAGCTTCCTCTCATCTGATCATCCAGCTTGTCTCTTTGTAACAGGCTTCATCATTCACCCAGCCTTCCCTTCCGTGCCTGTGTCTTTCTCTAACATGGGGGAAGGTCTGCCTGGTGGGAACTCTAAGGCCTGGGGAGACAAAGAGGCCCGCCAGTGGCCTTCCACTGACCATTGCATATGCACTGGTGAAGAGTGTGGGCCCCAGGATGGGCTTTCGTCTCAGCACACCCTTCAAACTTCTATTAAGCCCTGTCTTAAGTCTTGCTTAGTTCTTAAAAGCAAATTGGCCATAACACTTCTTGTTATCTTTACCTGGAGACAGTTTCTTACTTTGAGACTGCCTTCTCTATTTCCTCTAAAATCTGCTTGAAAAATGATTAATTTCTTTCACTTATTTTTCTTTTAAGACCACTTAAAAGAAGCCATTTCTCACTTTCACATTCTGCCTGGGAATCTTGTTTTTTTGACCCACAGGTTTATTACATGCTTGTTATAGGTTCCATGTTCTCACAGGTGACACTAATGCTAATTGTTGCACCAACGCATAAGTGTCTCCCCTTCTCCAGCCTCCAGTGACCATCGCTTCACTGCTTTTACACCAGCCCTAACAACTTCCTCACCATCTTTCCATTCTCTACTTGTTGATTTCCCTAAACCAATGCCACCTATTTTGTTATGGCAGCCCCTCACTTCCAGATACCAGTGTCTGAGATCTCTATTGCTGCAAAATGAATTACCCAAATACTGAATTGCCTAAAACATTTATTGTTTATCACAGTTCTGTGGGTTTTTCTGGGTTCAGCTGGGTGGTTCTTCTCCTTCACATAGAGGTGGCAGGGTTAACTCTTGCATCTGCATTCCACAGAGAGCTCCCTGGGGCTAGAATGTCCAAAATGACCTCACTCCTATATCTGATACTTCAGCTGGAGTGAGAAATGGCTGTTGCTTCTTGGGCTTCTCCCTTGCCCTGAAGATCACCCTGGGGAGTCACACAGTGCCCCTTCCTTCAGATTCTATTGGTCAGAGTCTATGGCAGGTCACTAGGCCATCCCAGGTTCAAGAGTTGAGGAAACTGACCCCATGGCTTTATGGAAAGAACCATATGTGCACATAGGGACATCCTAGACATTGCTGCCATCATCTTTGCAGACAAGGCAGGTACCACAAATGCAGCAACTTTTGATTAGACTTCACTCCTACCTATATTCCTCAGGCTAAATCAGAACATAAGCTTTGCTATTTATTATTTCTGTGACCTTGAGCAAGTTACTTATAGAACTATGTAACACCCCCTTAAAGACTGAATAAAATGTCATGTGCTGTGTCAGATGTTTCTTATACATTAATAAATATGCAACAAATATTAGTTTATTCATCTCACTCTACTGTTTTTTTTTTTTTGCCGTACGAGGGCCTCTCACTGTTGTGGCCTCTCCCGTTGCGGAGCACAGGCTCCGGACGCGCAGGCTCAGCGGCCATGGCTTACGGGCCCAGCTGCTCCGCGGCATGTGGAATCTTCCCGGACCGGGGCACGAACCCATGTCCCCTGCATCGGCAGGCGGACTCTCAACCACCGCGCCACCAGGGAAGCCCCACTCTACTTTTTAAGAGGCAATTTCCTTCAGAGAAAATATTTAGAAAGAAATTTTTTGTGCAAAAAAGAAAATATATTTTAAAGAAATCTTGGAAATGCCTCCTAGAAAAATTTTAAAAAGTAATACTACTTGCCCTTGACTTCAACTACATAAACCTATAACCTCCTATTGGGTATGTTTTCTTACCTGTTTTGAAATCGCTTTGTAAGATTATTCACATTTTACTAAACAGCGTTTTATAATAATCCTGACATTACACACCTTAAACTCCTGTATGTTAGACTAAAAAATGTCAGGAACACAATATTGTGATATAAAAAGATAGGCACTAACCAGTGAAACGTCAGAAATTTTTCCCTTTAAACATTGTTATCTGTCATTTTAAGGAAAATATTGTAAATATTAGAAAACTAATAAAAGAATTGAAATCTAAATATTTTCATAAATTAGAATACTCATAACCACATTAATGAAGAAACCCCAATGCTGTTTTAAAAATACCCCTTTGCACTAATTGTAAAATCAACCAGTTTCAAATATAAACATTTTAAAATAGAACTATAGTAACTTAAGCATGGTTTATATTGAAAACCCTAAAGAAATGATATCACAATGGGGAATGTTTAGTATTATACTGCAAAGTGCCACCTATTTATGCCAAATATGAAATGATATATACAGAAAATATAATTCCTATCTTATGACACTGCTCTTACAGAGGTTTATAAAAAATGCATGGAAGAAATGAGCTGTCAGCTGATTTTAAATCAAACTAATGAAGATATGGTATTGTCTACATATCCCAAGAGGAGCTGTTACACAGACTTCAAAGATTAGTGTCGACCTAACATATACATTGTGCATGTTTCCCCTCCCAAATGCAAAGACCTTCTGTGTGCCCCCTGGCCCTCACTTACTCCTACGAATAAAACTGTAGTCTTTGATTGGCGTGGGGAATTAAATGACCTCCAAAGCATTCTCACCTTGGTAGGCATACTGTTGTCTTCACTGTGACTGAACTTTGGGTACATCATACCCAATGCAGTGGAAAGCATGAGAATGGTTATTTTTAATCTTAATATATTTTCATCTTGTTGGCATGATCCATTTCTAAAGAAGTACACATAATATTTTTCTCCCTTTTATATATTGTTGTGAAGACAGTAATATTTTCTGAAATCACCTCCAAGTATCTGCTTTCTGTATCTTCAGATGAAGGTTAAAATTTATATTCATCTGGGAACATAACTAATGAAGGAACATTTGAAATTTTCTACTCTCATTGAGGATGATTCTGCTGGCTGGAAAAGAGTAATTTTTAGAGATGTGTTCATACATCTATATGCACTGTATCCACCAAAGCAGCTAAAACACTACAAAGACTTATTCAAAAGCAAACTAACAGACTGATATAATTTTTTCCACAATAACAGCTTTAGCAAGTTTAACTAGGAAGACAGTTTGTATACTGAATGTAATATTGTTCTCATTTGAACATATCTCGTCTTTGAATGTATTCTATTGGGAAAAAATACTCCTGAGTCCATCTTCAACCATAATTATTAGAGCGAGGTATCAATCTTTGGCAACAAGTAATGTGAAAGAGATTTGTCCTATTCAGTAGCCACATTGATGCCTCAGATAAAGAAACAGAGAAACAGCAAATATGAAATTCTACATTATTTTCTGTTAGTAGAAATAAACACTTGTTCTAAAGAGAATGTAACCAGGAAAAATTTTAAAGAATAAGTCACATAATAAAACATAGTGATATAAGAAAGGGCTGCTGGGAATGGCCATCATCAAAAAATCTACAAACAATAAATGCTGGAGAGGGTGTGGAGAAAAGGGAACCCTCTTGCATTCCCTCTTGGTGGGAATGGAAATTGATACAGCCACTATGGAGAAGAGTATGGAGGTTCCTTAAACAACTAAAAATAGAACTAGCATATGACCCAGCAATCCCACTACTGGGCATATACCCTGAGAAAACCATAATTCATGTACCACAATGTTCATTGCAGCTCTATTTACAATAGCCAGGACATGGAAGCAACCTAAGTGTCCATTGACAAATGAATGGATAAAGAAGATGTGGCACATATATACAATGGAATATTACTCAGCCATAAAAAGAAACGAAATTATTTGTAGTGAGGTGGATGGACCTAGAGTCTGTCATACAGAGTGAAGTAAGTCAGAAAGAGAAAAACAAATACCATATGCTAACAGGTACATATGGAATCTAAAAAAAAAAGGTCCTGAAGAACCTAGGGCAGGACAGGAACAAAGACACAGACTCAGAGAATGGACTTGAGGACACGGGGAGGGGGAAAGGTAAGCTGGGACAAAGTGAGAGAGTAGCATTGACATATATACACTACCAAATAGATAGTTAGTGGGAAGCAGCTGCATGGCATAGGGAGATCAGCTAGGTGCTTTGTGACTACCTAGAAGGGTGGGATAAGGAGGCTGGGAGGGAGACGCAAGAGGGAGGGGATATGGAGATATGAATAGCTGATTCACTTTGTTATACAGCAGAAACTAACACAACACTGTAAAGCAATTATACTCCAATAAAGTTGTTAAAAAAAATCAGTAATGAAAGTAAAAATTTCAAAGAAAAAAAAAGAAAGGGCTGCTGGAACACAAATGTAATATTAACATTGGATTTCATGTTTTTGGCCTATAGGCACTATCTTACCTGCTTTATGAGATAGAAATTAGAATCTCCACTTCACAGGTGAGAAACAGTGACTTCAATGAATACATGACTTACTTAAGTGTCATATGCAAGTCTGTGGATTGGAAAAGACCTTTCACTTTAGACCTGCCAGAATTACAGAGGAGAGGGTTGGAAACTGTCAGACATGCATAAGACATTTAAGCAATTCACTTGATCCTTTGACGTGTTTGTTTTCTAATCTGTAAAGTGGAGTTAACAATGCCTGTTTAACCTAACCTACCACTTAAAAGAATTAGAAAAAGAACAAACAAAACCTAAAGTCAGCAGAATGAAGGAAATAATAAAGATCAGAGAGGAAACAGAGATTTAAAAGTAGGAAAAAAATTAATAAAACCAAGGGCTGTTTCTTTGAAAGGAGGAACAAGATTGATAAACCTCTGGCCAGACTCACCAAGGAGAAAAGAGAGAGAGAACCCAAATAAAATAAGAAATAAAAAAGGAGACATAATTGATACTGCAGAAATACAAAAAAACATAAGGGAATACTATGAACAAAATACAACAACCTAGAAGAAATGGACAAGTTTGTAGAAACATACAGCCCACCAAAACTGAATCAAGAAGAAATAGGT